TTTGCAGCTAATCCATCTTCCAACTGATCGGCTTTATGGTATGTGCCGTTCTGGTAAATAGATCAATATTTATCTAGACAATTTATACACTTTCTGGTTGTGCTACAAATACCGTTGGAGGCACTTAAACCCCACGACCAAGCGAGTGGATGCTGTATGCACTCCGGGTAGCACATGCAGACGTTATCAGCCCATATATGTCTCAGACGTCATAGTGTTAAATGAATGATGAATTAAGTAAGATCGTGGTCCAATCTTGCTTGAGAACTCTTACGTCGGAACAGTAACAACAGTGAGAACGCATGTTGAGTGGCTTGAAAGACGATCCGCACTTTCCAGATATTGAAACACTCAATTCGCTGACCCGACCAGGAGCAGCTCCTGAGATTTGTTAAATCGATACGGACGGGACAGATGAGACCACTTAATTTACAATGGCATGCAGACGTCGCCCAGCTTTTCACAAAACTCGGTCGCCAATTTGGTTTGCACTAAAACGTGTGGGGTTTTGACTGGAGTGACTCAAGTACCGAAATAAAGCCATTTCAGGAGATATGTAACTATACTATCCTGCCACTTCAATACGCGGTCAGTTCTCGTGAAAACTGGGCAATTGCGGTAATAGCGGCCTGACAGTGGTAAAGTCCTCAGCTTTGATTGGACGAACGGAAGTAGTAATAATGGTCCTTTTGTGCTCCTTCATCTTTTGATTCTAACATTCTGGAAACCAGGTTCTTATTTTAACTACATTGGTGCCTTTAGAGCTAAAAAAAATGCAAAATACGAAAGGCTAAGCACGGATTAGTTATACAATAGGCGACAAGTTGCTAGCATCGAATCTCCTCAAAATGTGTTGAGCGTACCGCCATATTCCTAAGGTTCTATACCCACTTCACAATGCAGAGACTGGCTTGATGTCTGACAGTACTGTTGTCGCAGCTTCATACACAACGTGTTAGAAGTCTTCAGGTTATCTTTCTGAAGATGCTAACGCTCTACACTAACAATCAAATGCTGTATATTCATCCAAGACTTTCCGAGATAGACTTATTTTATTTAAAGGACAAAATATCGACCGCAAAACCCCGAAATATCCTCATACTACCAAAGGATCCAACAAGCGGTGGGGTATCGACCCAGTTGATAGTTCACATCACGGCAATATGCAGTAGTCGTAACTCCTATTCCTACGAGCTACTTCTGTCGAAACAACAAACACACGGCTAGATTCATACACACCATGCAAATTAACATTCTACATTTGCCGAACATACAGTGAGAAAACTCACCCTGAGTTAAAAAGTTATCTTGTAGAACTAGAGTTTTAGTTCTTTGTCGTTCACGACCTTCTAGCAACAAAGGTTGGAGCAGACACCAACATGCCAGTCGTCGTAACAAACCCAACCAGCTTAGTTGTTCCAGCCGATTCAAATGGAAAGCGCTATGAAGTTCTAGTGCAGCCGCGCGCACAAGCGTTTACAACACATGCTTAGTTTTTACCAGTTATTTGGTGTTCACTCTTACAGATCAAGGTTCCAACAACAAACAGAAGCTTCAAAATATTCGTCACTTTTCAGTACTGTGGTACAGTAGTTGATTATCAATTCCTTCGTGGTTTTTCAGGTGTGCACAGGCCTTGGTTTGAGTAGTTTGCAGGCTATCGATCGGCATCCCGTTGAATTATCTTCCTCATTTGTCTGTACCAACCTCTCTGAGTATTTTTAGTGGGCTAGATTAATAACCCATAGGATGTTCGTTTTTCTCAGTTTTCTATGCTCGTTTCCTGAAAATGCCTATTTTTGTACATTTACACGCCAATGAAGAATGCGCTCTCAATTCACTTCCGCACTGAGGCTTGTTTTCGTCCACAGGCCAATGCCTGATTGTAACTTCCTTCAAATCCTGGACTGAAGGAGAGTCTCGTGTTTCTTCTCACATTCATAACTTTGTGTGCTCTGCGCACGTACTATTCTGCTACATCTTTGCAATCATTTGTTTTTCATACAGTGTCATCACTATTTACAGAGCTCGACGTCTCGCTCTTGCTTGGTTGTTCCATTCAAATACACAATCCCAATCTATGTTTGTTCTTTGTTTATTACTCCAAGAAATCATAAATATGAAACAAGCTGTTGAAGCAGTCCAGAAGACCTCGTTATTCTTCTCGCGTTTTCACGTCGCTAGTTTTGGGCCCATGACTGAGAAATACAACAATAGACATTCTAGGGGTCATATTAAGCACAAACCACCCTGGTAAATACCTGGTTGTAAATCAAGATAGGGGTCACAAAGACTCACTTCTGTCTTCTGTGTACCAACATGATACCATATCAGGTTGTCTCACTTAGAACAAAACTGAGACACACAAAAATAAACAACACGTGAAAACGCGTCTCAAGGACAACAACAGCTTATTGGTTGTGGGTCAGGTATTTGCTGAGCTGCTCACCAATCTTGGCAATTGGCCTGCAAACCATATGAGGAGACATCATCAGTGCACTGGTGATGTCTTCTCATACGGTGACAAAATGTTTGCAAGTCCATAGCCAAGCTTGGCCAACATATCAACAACCAATGAACCCATCCGAGCTACCAACATTTTAACACATTACTGAACATCAACCTCTTATCCTTTACAGAAGGCAAGTGACCGTCACAATTTATTGCGTCCGTCGCCCATCAAACTCAGTTCCACCGGGCAGATGAAAACCGTGTATCAAAAATGGGCAGGCTCTAGCAGTAGAATATAGTGTGCGCAATTATCATTTGAATGCCCACGCTTTGGTATCACAGTGTATCAATGTTCAGAGAACGATATCTGTCAGTGTTTGCTTGTCTTTTGAAAATGGTCCACATGACTTATCACTTCATGTATACTAGTTTTTTTCAGTACCTGAAATGTAGGTCACTGCCCGGTGTGTTTGCAAGAGTTAAATGAAATTTCACATTGCCGTCACCATGCATACCATCATCTAATACAAGACCGAGCCTGTAAAAGACGACAGGAATCGGCTGTGCTTGCTGACCGTCAGTGCTGCATGGTTTGAAGTTTTTATGTCACCGATTGTCTGTACTCCGTGGTCTAGGATCGGAGGAGATTCCCAGAGGAATAAGCTGTGAATTCACTTTGGCCCACCTGGAGGTATTGTTATTTGGCTTCGTTCACTAACAAGTTCCTCAGTTCTGATAAATCAATAAGTTTTAAGACAACCTGCTACAGTTTCCACTTGCTGCTTTCGCTTTCCACCATTTCCCACCCCCCTCCACATAATATTCCATCGCCTCCCACATCTACCATGTCAAACTTTGTTGAACAGGTAGTTGGGAACAATCTTAACGCTGTAAGCAGTCATGGAGGTAGTGGCTACATTTCCCTACAAAGAAAGCATGCCCAAAGCAACTACGGAGAGGTAAGTCTCATTGCAGTGCTGAAGACAACCACACTGAAGTTGGTCGGAATCCTCACTACCTTTGATAAAGGTAAACGCATCTTTCATAACTGTTCAGCATAATTTTTTCAACAGCGGATCGCGTCACTAACCTACCACTGGCCAGAAAATCACGAGAAAATGTGCCTTGCACAAGCATCTAGAATGGTTACATAGTTTCATCTGACTGGATCAAGGATACGTTTTGCTTGGTCGTATATATGGCTAGCAATTTCCTATAATCATTGTGAAAGGGGTTTAGAGGCTTTTTTCTGAGATATCCACTTCAGGGTGTGTGTATCAGATCTGCTCAAGGATGGTACTGCTGCACTACAATGGTCAGCCATTGGACCTGTCTTGTCCAGTGTGCCTAAATGAACCTCCCCCCCCCGCAATGCAATGAACTCAAACTGTGCACTATTTGTGAATGTTATGATGATGCCGAGTTTCGTTGGAATCAATAACAAGCCAGAAATACAGCAGGATATCGAAAATTCCAGGATGTGTCGACGTTAATCAGACTGCCAGTGAACGCGACCGTTTTGAAAATTATCAAGTTGGCTGGAGTGGATCTACGATTTCCCTATTGGAAACTCTTCTCTCCAAACAGCAAATATGGTCCTGAGCGTCCGAGTGCAGATAAGGGGTGATGTAAAGACCAGAGATCATGTGACGCTGACAGTCAGAAAAAGCAGGCTAATCCTGATGGCCCTTAATATTCTACCAATGTGTTGGGGGGCTACCAATTATTAATGCTCCCGTTGAACACAAACGAAAGGCCGAATTCAGCAAAATCAGTATAAAGTGATAGAAGGAACTTTGAAAAATTCCAGCAAGCTCTTTAATGCCCTCATGTATAGTAAATTTGTAGAATAACTTAACGAATGACTTCGGTGAGGTACACAAACACTTGGTCCCTCCCCCCTCCGCGCTTATTCTGTTCTTAATAAAAGCTTTCAAAACATCACAATGGTACGGTAGCACAGCATTGGCTGATGCCACTCTGTCTATGACGATGACGAGGATGATGATGACAATGATGGTGACGGCGGGATTTCCCATATTCGAGAATCTGACAAGCGAAAGATCAATGTATATGGTACTACTCTACAAGGTGAAACAACGATTCCGCGCTAGGAAGTGCCTATCCTCATGTCCTCCTGCCTTCTACTAGATGTCGGGTAATTAGTCCTGGTGCCCAGTTTGGACACACCCGGCGCAGGCCGAAAATATCCTACTGTCACTCAGTTGGAAACCCGACCGTGAAATCCCATGCTTCTTGTGCGGCTACACTCTCGTCCCTCTATTTTTTTCATTTACGAGATTGAATTTCTTTTGCGGTGTGGAGCGTTTCAGGTGACTGTGGTGGCGCATATTAACTCCGAGCATCTGACACACTCGTTCGTCATTGATTGTATTCAGGACCTGTGAGGTTGTTTTCAAAATGTTTTTATCGTTTGTGTGTTTAATTTCCCTCGACTGGACTAAATGTAAGTCACTTAACAAGACAAGAGTACAAAATCAAGGTCAAAAACAGCAAAAAATGCGTGTTTGATTCAGTGTAAGACTCACCTCTCAAAAATACAGCTGATACCAACCACAATTCGAAATCCAATTTTGTTTGCAATCATGCCACCAATCGGCATACAGATCCCCTGAACACAGAGTGCCAGTGCAGATAGCCATATTGTCAGACCATCATTTACATCCTTCTGAACACGTGCTTTTGTGTATCCCATGATGTATGGAACCATATTGGCTATATGGTATTAAATTTATAACGTCAATTTACCTATGGTATAGAAATGCCCAAGTGTGAAGTGTATTAAAATGCCTCCAAAAATAGCCAAACATCCCTGGATATTATACTTCGTTTCCTGTTTCTGAAACCGGAGGAGTTTATGGCACATATATATAAGTACCATTACCATGTGTTTACGCCAACGAAAGCCAGGTCACTGAATATTGTAATACGCATCCAATGGAAGCAGCGTGGGACAGTGATTCTCCGAATGTAGGGGTTCAGGAAAATTTCTGTGGATGGAACACAGAAAGGAACCTCATCAGCCGAAGCCGAATAGGCAAAAATGGAATATCACTACTACCACAACATTTTGCTTCTTATTTTTTTCAATAACGAGGTGTTTAAGAGTAGGAGTTCAATGGAAAATGTAACGTTATGGTTTGTGTGTACTGCAACAGTGTTTTCAAGTTTTGTTCCAGTTACACTCCATAGTTGCTTAAGGTTTGAGGTTTTTATCATGTAATCTCCGGCGACTTACACGGACTTCACGTGAACACGTTGTCAACGATATGAACACAAATCAGTGACATCTAAAGCACCGTTGAGTGGTGATGCATACGTACACAACCGTAACTTAGCCGTTTATCGGGTCGATACAGTTGGTGTGAGGGGACACAAAAATAAATTATTCGTGAGGTTGTGGTAATAGCAGTAGCCGCAAAGATCTGCATCACAAACACTTCTATATGAACCAACTAAAGTGACGGGCTCTATGTACTGCGTCATAGAATGCCGACCTGGATAAATCGCCGCCACAAGTGAGTCCACTTTATTGATATAAAAAAACAAGACACTGTGCAGTCTGATGTGCAGTACATGTTAGGAAATGCGAAAAATTTTGCACTATTCACTGGCCGTATATGATAACACAAATCGGAGATGAAAATTGGTACCCTCTTTCTTTGAGAATCTCTCTACTTCTGTCACTTATCTGTTCTTTGTATGTGCTTGGATGATTTTGCAATTCATACTTACATGGCACACGTTTGAACAGTCCTCGCCCTACCATTATGCCATCCGTTTGGTAGTTCCACATCAAATGGGGAGGCAATGAACCCAGTTCCCACTTTAATAGAGTTCATTAGCAGTGCATATTCTTTGCTGTGTGGCGAACTCCTAATGCTTAAGTTATGGAGAGTATGTTACATTTACTGCGTGCTGGAATAATCAGGAATGAAGACATGAATGCCTGAAGCGGTCTGAGTGACGTACCTGACGTCGATGTCCAGGACACCGGTGGGTTTTGAATTACATCTTCCAACATAAATACGCTCCTATGTAAGCTACTGCACAAGAAGGTGTTATTCCCTCTATAAATGGCGGGTAAGAAAGGCTGGAGGAGTGACTTTAGGGAGCTCCATGCCTAAAGCATCAGACAAAGCAATCCTTCTTTCCGGAGGAAGGAAGCCTTTCAGGTGAAAACAGACCACCCAACTTACGTGTATCTCCACGTGAAATACCGCTATCCGGGATAAAATAACTTATGGTGGTGAGAAGAATTCCCAAAACTGACACGCTGAAATGTGGTGATGGAAACCGATAGATGAAAGCCTTCCTGGTAGCACGATCGGGGGTTGTAAACTGACGGAGTCCGGACATCCCCCAAATTGACCTGACCATCGAATCATGCACATATAACATCTAATGAATGCTCTCACGGCGAGCATTTTACCAAACACTGCGTGCAGTGTCGCCACACCAGACATTCTGGCTCATTTTCAGAATCCTCTTGGTATTATTGTGGTGTTCGCATTCACACTGACAAGAGTTCCACCTCAGGCCTGACGTGCTGGTCGGGCGTCAGTCCGGGATCAATGTTGGGGGCCACGGTGGCTGGACTCAGCTGCCTAATATCCAGCCATACGATAAAGACCAAGGGAAAGTATTGAGACAAAGCGCGGCGAACCGTCCTACATCAAGGAAGTATGTTGAGGGCCGTCTAGGGGAAGAGTCTTGATGTTGGATGAACCGGAATCGCTATTCGGTACAACGATTCTATCAGGCGATCGGCGTCTGAATATTCGCGAGCGTAACCCTAGTGCATTCTCAGAGCATCGAAAAAGACCTGCCCAAAGCTCACGCGCTTTGTTTCAAATGAAAGTGCTCCATGACCATTGGCGCATTAGGTAATGCTTTGAAAAACCAGGAGTCTTGTGCCGTCAAAACAAAACTCGCTGCACGCAATGACATCCTGTCAAACATCCTCGCTTTACTTTTCGCGCCCTTCGTTACCATCTGTGATTGGCTTTAACTTCAAAGGCTTCGAATGGAATACCCGGAATGAGCCCGTCTCCAAGGTACGGTAGTCAAAATCATTTCTCCCATGAATGTTGCGCCAAAAGCTGGTGTGTATTCTGTGATCCGAAACCTTTCGGATTTATGGTGGTTATTACAGTTTTGAAGGGCGAGTTGCTTTTTTAATAAGAATGCTTGTACACTGTCAATGTGCCCCACCTGGCTAAACAATGTAAATTGATGAACGTCCGCTTCGGGTGGAAACAACTTTTCCAGTGTCAGCGCAGCGTAGAATTCGTAGCTGTGGATTATAAACACTGGAGAATAATGGATCGGCTAAACTGAGCCAACTTGAGAGAGGTGGATGCCTGATTCCTGCCACTGAAAGTAAGCTTACAATGTCGCACTGCAGCCCCAATGTAATGCAAAAAAACTCCTATTCATCTATTTCTGCTATCCGCGCACAAGCTGTGGAGAACTTTCATCATCACTCACTACTGCCCTGACACTTGTAAAACGGCGTGTGAACGTCTCAAGACGGTACAAATATCTTACTATACAGAAGCGTACTTGCGTCTTCTGAATGAATTTTGGTGGTGCTAGGTCGGGATGCGATGCTGCCTCGTCAGGTTTATGGGGCGCAAGACGCCATATAAACAATGTCTTGGGGAACGTGCATCAAGTTTCCGAGACTAGAGTGTTAGATTAGAGTGTTAGGCACTACCTCCTAGCCACAGGGGACGATGTTGCTATTGGGATAAAGACTCTAAACCGTGTATCCCATCCAGATCAGTGGACCCTGATCAGATCAGATGCCCTTCGTGGACCCAAGCCCGTCAGGTAGTGCACTGCACATAATTGCGCAATTTGGTGGAAATTGAATGATGCTTATCACTGATATCCGGATGTAACGGTCAAACCCAAAGACTGTTCTTACTCTGTTTACAATAACGATCTGCTCACAACCCCGTTGGCCAGCATCACTAACCAGAGAGTTAATCGAATACCGCAAAGTTACCTACTGCCACCGCGACCATGCGGTACCGAGTTATGTTTAACAGTGCTACAAAAAATATAATATTACCCCGAAACTAAAAGGGTGCATGCCGCGGGTGGGTTGAACATGAGCTGTTGGCTGACGCGGTGCCTGCGGTTCCGCCATTAGGTTTAGGCCAGCTTATCACCTGCACATCCTTGTGCGCGTTCGTCTACGGATCTTCCCCCTTCGGATTCACATAGGTGTTAGAGGACTGCGTGGAGAATCCAATTCAAGCCAGTGCAGGTTATTTATGTTCACTCCAACTGTTCAGGCCTTTGGTGATCTCACTAATGATGACAAGCACATCCAATTCAGCCACAGACTGTGTTCACTTATTCTTCGTTGCACCGATTTAAATATCACTCCGTTGTTGTTTCAACCCTATAAAGACTAGCTCATTGTGTCCTACAGCGTCACATCCGAATGTGGCTGGTACCACCAGCTAAAGCAATATACTGGACAAACCTTTGCGGGGAAGCATGCGTCAAAAGTTGCCATCTTATTAGAAAATATCTGTTAGTGAGAACATACAAACAATTCAATCAGCATATTCTGGATCCAAGTGGAATAGGTTGTGCAATCCGGTACACTTAATGGATCTAGTTTAACACACTATCAACCACTTTGCACCAGCAATATTTTTATCTTCTGAGGAGAATTACATCGTCAGAGAAATTTAAGGTACTGGTTGAATGAGGCAACCGGACACGGCGCATAAAAACTACGAATGCCTGTAAGCAGGATAATGCATGTGGTCAAGCACTTAAAATTTGTTCTGCGAACATTCCAGTGGTAAGTTGATAGAGAAAAGCGGCACTCGTAGACATTTTTTCGCATTCATTCTCGGTCTCTGGGAGCCTCAAAAACTCGTTTCCACTGGGAGAATTAGTCAATTGCAGCTTGCTTGGTTGGGATGGTTTGGAACAAAAAATCACATTAAATTTTGTCTTACATGGAGGACTTTCCAAATTTTTCACAAATTATCAAAAATATATGAAGTATCGAGATTTCTTTCTTCAGGTTCACGTTATCAAAAGCCCCCCGGAAGTACGTAAAATTTTGCAATCAACGTGCTAAATTTTTGCCTACATAATATGACCACCAAACCAAGTGTTGACTAGGTACGCGAAAAAATGCCAGTAAACATTCCATTTCCCGAAACGGCTTCGGCGCGCATTAAGCTGGCAGGTCCGTTTGATTACTTAAATTGATTTTTCGTACATACTGGTGAAAGGAAGAAGGCCTTCGCTGTGGAGCTATTTATTAGAAAATGCCAACTGACCGGCTAAAGACCATTAAACAGGGAAGCAAAACACTAATTTGCATCTTATCTACAAAAACTGGACCTCCATCGTCTCCCGAACGCGTCTTCTTAAACTTTCCTGGAGATTCATTGATTCCACTCGTTCGTTGGTCAAATCCAAGCAAATGTTACAAAGTGGCTCCACGAATTCCGCATCACTGGTTGTGTGTTATTGATTTCGATAACTCCCAAAATCAGAATTTCGAAACCAATGAACATACAAGAACGAATACAATACAGCTCACACCATACACCCATACTTCTTGTTCGCAAAGTGCGCCAGGCTGTCCACCGATTGATAGCATCATTATAGGAAAAGGTTAAATCACGCTTCGGCAGAACTTCCTACCGGTTGTAATGTGCAGGTTA